TAGAAAATTCAGAATTTCGACTTTTTTTTAAAGCAAGTAATCAAATTAAAATACCCAAATTATTTAGTAAACGCAATAATTTGAACAACAGATGTTTTTATTTTGAGAAATCGGGCGAAAATACAGCGATCTAAAACAGACCAGGTCAGCCATTTCCGGTGTAAGCTGCTGACTTTCACGGTTTCAAACAGTTTAGAAAATTCATAAATTCGACTTTTATACAGCAAGTCATCAAAATAAAATACCCTAATTACTTCGAAAATGGCAGGACTCAAGTAAAAACTGCAAAAAATTGGAACAATAGATTATTTTTGAGAAATGGGGCGAAAATACAGCAATCTAAAAACAATCTGGACGAGTCCTTTCTGTCCAGATGGCCTTTCAGACAGTTCGGAAATTTCAGAATTACGATTTTAAAATATAGACTAGCAAAACTAAAATACGCAAGTATCATTGAAAATAGTATGATTTAAGTGAAAATACGATAATGCAAACAACAAGTGTTTTTATTAACGTGGCAGTCGCAGGATAAGTATTAGTCAACCATTTGTCACCGCACATAAAATCAGCCGAGTAGTTAATTTATACTGATGAAAAATAAAACGAATTGTAACTCTGCATATATTAAGCGTCACCTAATACCGGGGGTAACCAGTACAAACAAATGGATCTTATATTGAAATTAAAAATTCCATGTAATGAGCACAAGCACTGAAAGACGTGTTGCAAACTGCACAGCCGATTGATTGTGAGTGACGGCATACGGCTTCCTTAGCTTGGTCATTTGTTTATAACTGTAGTAACCCACGTTGCACGCCGATGTCGTGAAATCCTTTGTTTTATAATCCAGTTGCCTGTCCCTCTCTTTCTTAGGTCCATGGTTTAAACAACCATATTTGATTCATATTAGGATCAGCAGATGATTTTTCCAGTTCAAACATAGAGACCATAGAAACATATGTACAGAAGTTTCAATTTATACAGGCTTCACACTATATGCACACAACACAATAGAATTAACAGTGAGGTCTGTTATACATAGACAGGTGTTGGGTTTACACCAAGTCAATTAGGTTTGGCAATTCAATAAGAATTCTCATTTTACAGAGGAGTTCATGTTTTACACTATAAGCAAGTACTAGTATATGAAAGGAGAATTGGGAATGTGTTTACTTTGATTCAGTTTAAATTATTAATTTCTAATCAACCAGTTTTGCATGTCTCACAATGTGCCAATGTACATGAAAGGATTACTCACCTTGGCTTCTACCATTCTCTTGTAGTTGACATATTTGATGTCCTGGGCTTGCATCAACTTCTTTTGTTCTTCTGTAACTGGTTCTTCTTTGTTCTTGATCACATGTATGCCATCCTACATAAAAAGTAAATAATACACAATTTAAATTCAATTATAATTACATTTTTTGAGGAAATTTATAAAACATTCATAAATATTTACTACGGGAAACCCTCATCATCGCTGATCAATGTCGGTTTATTTGTCCACTGCCTAAACACTATAGTTGCGTTCACGCACAGCTCCTTAGCACGGGCTAAGAGGTCAAATTCCTTAGCCCGTGCTAAGAAAACGTGCGTGAACGCTTAGCACGGGTTAAGGAATGCTAAGTACGGGTTAAATCTGATCCGAATTTAAGACGCGGTCTAGACCTTAGCACGAGCTAACGAAGTATGCTCGAACGCTTAGCCCAGGGCTAAGCGCCCTCTGCGGCGACCTTTGGGTGTGAAAATTGTCCCATGTTCGTATAACGACACTATTCCACCAGTCATTACTCCGCGTTCACTTCCACACTAATCGGGTCACTGTAGTAGAGCGTACAGCAGCTCCAATCGTAGACAAAATAAATTTGGTTCGCTGTCTACGACATGCATTAATAAAACGCTGTTACGCCCGTTGTATACTGTTTATGTGCATCCAAATAAGTTGGGACCGTCTTCTCTCGCGTTCCTGTGCATGTCGCTTCAAAATTAGACCAGCAGCAGAAATAGAACCGCGCGTGTCATCCATTTTTCGTTCATAAATAGCGGCTTACCGACTAATGGCAGCCCTTAGCCCGTGCTAACGACTGGCCCTCCCTGTGCATGGATGCAATTGGGTCTAGCCAAAATGCAAATATGCTAGATAAGCCTAAATCAGCTTAAATCTTAGCCCGTACTTCGTGTAACGTGAACACAACTATTATCTGCTAATATCCTGTCCGGCCTATGTGAATTGAAATACGACCTCATTGCTAATTTAATAATCCCAGTATTTGGTTTCATGTCTGTTGCCACATGCTGTATCAGCTCTGATTCCAAGGTGAATCAGATGAATGCATTTCCCCCAAGGTGAGTTATATCTGCTCACCATCCCTCATGCATTTTTTTTTGAGGGGGGTGCCTTTCATGTATCAAAAATGGAAATGAGAGCTTTATTTTATTCGATGAAATAACATTTTCGCACTACGCTCTTTGATTGGCTGGTTAATTCAACCACCAAATTTTCAAATTTTTAAAAATTTATTAAAAAAAAAGTGAATGGGTAAGTAATTCTTGAAAGTATACTGCATACTGAGTCTGAACAGCCCCCCCCCCCCTCACTTTCTGATTCTCTCAAATGAAAAACTTGATTGTCAGCCAACAAGAATATAGAACAAATCAGAATGACAGCATCAATAGTAACTAAGTTGTCATGCAGCCCATGTTTAAATTTTCATGCAGACATATAATGTTTTTACACATGCTGCATTTGTTGACACTTGACCTACTGTGAAATCTATTATTTTCGCTTGGAATTTATTTTCGCTATTTTCGCTGAAGGGGTGATTCAGTGAAAGTAAAATCCAGCGAATATACATTTTTTTCCTATATTTTACATTCAACTCACTAAGAATCAGTGAAAATAAAGTCCATACAAATCATTCAAAAAGTATTTTCAGCGAAAATTAATTCCAGCTAAAATAAAGTATTTTACAGTATTTTGAACAAGATGTGGCAGTGTTCTCCCCAGACTTCATGTCAAGCATCACGGCCAATTTGCATAACAATGCATCTAATTTGCATAGTAATCAGTTTTTCCCAACAAATATTGTCAATCTACAATTAATTAAAGACAAGATATTTTTATATCTAATAAATTTTATATCATTTTACTGCATTGTATTTTATGATTTTGTATCAAGTCAAATAAAGTTTGAAATGGAACATCATAAAAAGG